ATTCTCTCTCTCTCTCTCTCTCTCTCTCGCTCTCTCCCAAACTTTTTCTGAGCTTTGGACACACAGCTATGCTGAACATCTTATCTCTGTCCTCCTTTCTCAGATTTAGCCTGGGAAAAAAAAAAATCTACATTTCTAACCTTTCTCAGATTTAGCCTGGGAAAAAAAATCTACATTTCTAACTGATCCAAGGATCCTGTCCTCACATGACACCTTCATTCAGGCCTGGTTTATACAGTATCTGTTGGTTGGAGCTGTTAGTCAGTCAACTGGGGATCGGCACATCACAACTTTTCCAACTGTTTTATTAACCCAATGGTTCTCAAACCTTTTTGCCCACACACTCCCTTCTATAGATTAACTGGAGTGACACACTCCCAATTCCTCACATCTTCAAAAAAAAAATAAATGCACCAAGCTTTCTAATAAAGACAGCAGGCTAAATCATGCAGAAGACGCATAAAACAAACAAACATGTGTAAATGTTTAATTTATGTGTGTGTTTTTTAAGTAATATGCCAGCTTTTGATTTTAAAAGGAAATGTTTTTCTTACACATCTTTGTGTGGAAATAAATTCCTAAAACGCACATTGTATTTTTATGTGCGCACCCCCTAGTGGCAGCTCGCACACCCCTTCACACTTTGGGAATCGTAGTGTTAACCTGTTTAGATATCCTTGTTGGGATTAATTTGAAGCACTCCAGGTCTATGAGGTCATTCTTATACTTCCATAAGTTCCTGTTGTTTTATTACAGATACTGGTTTCTTTTCTGAACTCTTGATTCATTAATTTCCTGCTTTTCTTCCTTACCCCTGTGTGAATTAATACTGCTCAAATCCTCTTTGTCATTTTACACCTTTGTAATGCATCACGGTCGTTCCAGAATATGAAGCGCCATCTGGCTGGTGACGTTCGTCATTAACGGTCGCCACCTGAGGAGATTTTCATCTCTGTTTCTCTTTCTCACTTTTTTTTCTTCCCCCTCTAATTCTGATGTGAAACTTTCCTGATTTTTTTCCTCTTCTTTTAAACCTGCTGCTCAGGAGTACATTCGTAGACAGCTGGAGGAGGAGCAGAGGCAGTTAGAGATTCTCCAGCAGCAGCTACTGCAGGAACAGGCTTTACTGCTGGTAACCTTGGTTCTCCAATGTCAAACCACTGCCCTCCCTCCCAGTCCGTGCTGTGCTGTGCTGTGCTGTGTGGACCCCCCCTCCCCTCCGCCTTCCCCGTCTCCCCCCACCTTCCCCCAAACCATCACTGCATGCATCCAACTACTTGCTTAGGAAGTGATAGTAAAGAACTTCACAGTCTGAGTCCATTAAGTTTGGTCATTACAGAGAACAGTGTAGAGACCTGGTCGGACAGTCATTCTCCAGTTGTCCTCTACTCTGACCTACAGGTGATTATATTTAACGAAGCAGAGGACAAACAAACCTTCATGGGCCTGTTTAGCAGCCACAGGGACTTCACACATTAATTCTGCCATTGTAGTCTGTGAGGACGAAGCTTTGAGATCCAGGAAAAACACCTGGACTTATAAAAGTGTGGTGCCCTCCGATCTGACCTTTTTTAAATACATCCCTAACTTTGTTCATGGAATGTTTAAGGATCCTTTTTCATTACAGATAGGCCTGTGATGATAACAGATTTTGCTGGACGATATTTGTCCCACAAATTATTGGCTAAGGACAATATCGTTGTCAACATAATTTTGAGACCAGATTAACTGCTGATGTAATGGTATTCCATAATAATGAAAGTTTCAAATGCAGTCAACTTTTATTTTTATATATATATATATATATATATATATATATACACACACACATATATATACACACATATATATATACACACACATATATACACACACATAT